GGGGGGGGTGTGCGGATACGCGTGCGGGAGAGGGTGCGCAAAAGGCAGGGGAAGGGCTGTGCACACACGTGCCAGGAAGGACGTGCACGTGTGCACGCACGCCGGGGAAGGGTGTGCACATGTGTGCACACATGTATGCATGCGTGCCGGGGAAGGGTGCACACATGTGTGCATGCACAGAGAGGAAGGGCATGCACAAGCGTGCACGCGTGCCGGGGAAGGGTGTGCACGTGTGTGTGCATGCATACAGGGGAAGGGCACACACAAGCGTGCATGCGTGCCAGGGAAGGGTGTGCACAGATGTATGCATGCGCGCCGGGGAAGGGTGCACACGTGTGCACGCACACAGGGGAAGGGCACGCACAAGTGTGCACGCGTGCCAGGGAAGGGTGTGCAACATGTGTGTGCAGGCACACAGCGGAAGGGCATGCACAAGCGTGCACGCATGCCAGGGAAGGGTGCACACATGTGTGCATGCACAGAGAGGAAGGGCATGCACAAGCGTGCACGCGTGCCGGGGAAGGGTGTGCACATGTGTGTGCACGCACACAGGGGAAGGGCATGCACAAGCGTGCATGCGTGCCAGGGAAGGGTGTGCACGTGTGCACACATGTATGCGTGCGCGCCAGGGAAGGGTGCACACATGTGTGCACGCACACAGGGGAAGGGCATGCACAAGCATGCACGCATGCCGGGGAAGGGTGTGCACATGTGTGTGCATGCACAGAGGGGAAGGGCATGCACAAGCGTGCATGCATGCCAGGGAAGGGTGTGCACGTGTGTGCACATGTATGCGTGCACACTGGGGAAGGGTGCACACATGTGTGCAGGCACAGAGGGGAAGGGCACGCACAAGCATGCACGCATGCCGGGGAAGGGTGTGCACGTGTGTGTGCACGCACACAGGGGAAGGGCATGCACAAGCATGCACGCGTGCCAGGGAAGGATGTGCAACATGTGTGTGCATGCACAAGGGATAGGGGTGCGCTCGTGTGCATGCACACAGGGGAAGGGTACAGACATGTGCACACATGCCAGGGAAGGGTGTACACATGCACCAGGAGAAGGCGTGCCCTTGTGTGCATGCACGCCAAGGAAGGGTGTGCACGTATGTGCACACATGCCAGGGAAGGGCGTGCACATGCGTGTGTGCACACAGGGGAAGGGCATGAACGTGTGCATCCTTCCCTGGCATGCGTGCACGCAAGGGACAGGCACGCACTTGTGTGCATGCACAGAAGGGCACGCACAAGTGTGCACGCGTGCCAGGGAAGGGTGTGCAACATGTGTGTGCAGGCACACAGCGGAAGGGCATGCACAAGCGTGCACGCATGCCAGGGAAGGGTGCACACATGTGTGCACCCTTCCCTGGCATGCGTGCACGCTTGTGCATGCCCTTCCGCTGTGTGCCTGCACACACATGTTGCACACCCTTCCCTGGTGTGCATGCACACAGGGGAAAGGCAGGCATGCGCACATGCCACACAGCACACAGGGGAAGGGCATGAACGTGTGCATCCTTCCCTGGCATGCGTGCAGACAGGCACGCACTTGTGTGCATGCACACCCGGGAAGGGTGTGTGCACGTACATGCACAGAGGAGAAGCACAGAGACACGTGTGTGCATGCGCAGGGGTAAAGCGTGCACTTGTAGGCACGCCAGGGGAGGGTGCACATACAGGTGTGCATGCACACAGGGGAAAGGCACGCATGCATGCGCACGCATGCCAGGGAAGGGCATGCACATCTGTACGTGCCTACAGGGGAAGGGGTGTGCACGCACGCCAGGGAAGGACGTGCGTGCGTGTGCACACGCACGGCCCATCATGCCGGCTGCGTGTCGGGGAGGGGGTACAAGCCCGCGCAGGCCGGGTGTGAAAGCGTGGCGGCGCGTGTGAAGCGGGCCGGGGGCCAGCGCGGCTCCGGC